CTCTCACCCACTCTCATACGCTCTCATTCCCTCTCACCCACTCTCGTACGCTCTCATTCCCTCTCACCCACTCTCTTACGCTCTCATTCCCTCTCACCCACTCTCATACGCTCTCATTCCCTCTCACCCATTCTCATACGCTCTCATTCCCTCTCACCCACTCTCATACGCTCTCATTCCCTCTCACCCACTCTCATACGCTCTCATTCTCTCTCACCCACTCTCATACGCTCTCATTCCCTCTCACCCATTCTCATACGCTCTCATTCCCTCTCACCCACTCTCATACGCTCTCATTCCCTCTCACCCACTCTCATACGCTCTCATTTTCTCTCACCCACTCTCTTACGCTCTCATTCCCTCTCACCCACTCTCATACGCTCTCATTCCCTCTCACCCATTCTCATACGCTCTCATTCCCTCTCACCCACTCTCATACGCTCTCATTCCCTCTCACCCACTCTCATACGCTCTCATTCCCTCTCACCCACTCTCATACGCTCTCATTCCCTCTCACCCACACTCATACCCTCTCATTCCCTCTCACCCACTCTCATACGCTCTCATTCCCTCTCACCCACTCTCATACGCTCTCATTCCCTCTCACCCACTCTCATACGCTCTCATTCCCTCTCACCCACTCTCATACGCTCTCATTCCCTCTCACCCACTCTCATACGCTCTCATTCCCTCTCACCCACTCTCATACGCTCTCATTCCCTCTCACCCACTCTCTTACGCTCTCATTCCCTCTCACCCACTCTCATACGCTCTCATTCCCTCTCACCCATTCTCATACGCTCTCATTCCCTCTCACCCACTCTCATACGCTCTCATTCCCTCTCACCCACTCTCATACGCTCTCATTCCCTCTCACCCACTCTCATACGCTCTCATTCCCTCTCACCCACTCTCATACGCTCTCATTCCCTCTCACCCACTCTCATACGCTCTCATTCCCTCTCACCCACTCTCATACGCTCTCATTCCCTCTCACCCACTCTCATACGCTCTCATTCCCTCTCACCCACTCTCATACGCTCTCATTCCCTCTCACCCACTCTCATACGCTCTCATTCCCTCTCACCCACTCTCATACGCTCTCATTCCCTCTCACCCACTCTCATACGCTCTCATTCCCTCTCACCCACTCTCTTACGCTGTCATTCCCTCTCACCCACTCTCATACGCTCTCATTCCCTCTCACCCATTCTCATACGCTCTCATTCCCTCTCACCCACTCTCATACGCTCTCATTCCCTCTCACCCACTCTCATACGCTCTCATTCCCTCTCACCCACTCTCATACGCTCTCATTCCCTCTCACCCACTCTCATACACTCTCACACACTCTCATACACTCTCTTATACACTCTCATCCCTCCTCATCCACTCTCATACACTCTCAACCCCTCTCATCCTCTCTCATACACTCACATACACCCTTATTCACTCTCGTCCCCTCTCATCCACTGTCTGATACACTCTCATCCCCTCTCATACACACTCATACCCCCTAATCCGCTCTCATCCACTCTCATACACTTCCATACACTCTCATTCACACCCATCCCCTCTTATCCCCTCACATCCCCTCTCATACACTCTCATCCCCTCTCATACACACTCATCCCCTCTCATACACTCTCATACACTCTCATACACTCTCTACCACTCTCGTTCAATCTCCTACACTCACTCTCATACACTCCCATCCCCTCATAAACAGCCTTTCACTCTCATACACCCTCATGTCCTATCATCCGCTCTCATCCTATCTCACACACTCTCATCCCCTCTCATATACTCTCATCCCTTCACATCCCCTCTCATTCACTCTCATACACTCTCATACACTCTCATCCCCTCACATACACTCTCATACACTCTCAACCACTCTCATCCACTCTCCTAAACTCTCATACTCTCTCATCATCCCTTATCATACACTCTCATTCACTCTCATTCACTGTCATCCCCTCTCACCCCCTCTCATTCCCTCTCATTCCCTCTCATCCCTTCTCATCCCCTCTCATTCACTCTCATACACTCTCAACCACTCTCATCCACTCTCCTAAACTCTCATACTCTTTCATCATCCCTTATCATACTCTCTCATTCACTCTCATTCACTCTCATCCCCTCTCATCCCCTCTCATTCCCTCTCATTCCCTTTCATTCCCTCTCATCCACTCTCATCCCCTCACATACACTCTCATACACTCTCAACCACTCTCATCCACTCTCCTAAACTCTCATACTCTCTCATCATCCCTTATCATACACTCTCATTCACTCTCATTCACTCTCATCCCCTCTCATCCCCTCACATCCCATCTCATTCCCTCTCATACACTCTCATTCACTCTCATTCACTCTCATCCCCTCTCATCCCCTCTCATTCCCTCTCATACACTCTCATACACTCTCGTACCCACTCATACCAACTCATACACTATCATATACACTCTCATCCCCTCTTATACACTCCCATACACACTCATACACTCTCATACACTCCCTTTCACTCTCGTGCACTCTCATCCCTGGTCATCCCCTCTCATCCCCTCTCATCCCCTCTCACACACTCTCATACACTCTCTTACACACTCTCATCCCTCCTCATCCACTCTCATACACTCTCAACTCCTCTCATCCTCTCTCATGCACTATCATACACTCTTAAACACTCTCATCCCCTCTCATACACACTCATACCCCCTAATCCGCTCTCATCCACTCTCATACACTTCCATACACTCTCATTCACACTCATCCCCTCTTATCCCTTCTCAGCCCCTCTCATACACTCTCATCCCCTCTCATACACACTCATCCCCTCTCATCCCCTCTCATCCCCTCTCATCCCCTCTCATCCCCTCTCATACGCTCTCATACACTCTCTTGTCTGTGTGACATTCTCTCTTGTCCCCTAACTCTTGAAAGGCTCTCAATTTTCCCCCTTCCATTCTCTCTTATGCACAATACTACACCTTATATCCGCATGGTCTTATTGTCCAACAGAGCTTGAATCGGTCGTGAGGAACAACATGTTTCGCCTCATACGTTCAAGGTGAGAGGCTGAGGTTGAATACACATGATAACCTTCAAACTAGCTAAAGTGCATTGTTAACATCAGCCATCGTTCATTTCCAAACAAGAATTGTATAAAATAACTTGCAAACTTCCGTGTGGTATCCCTCCATCCGTTATCTTTTGGTCCTGTAGCAATTTTGATGTGCAGGAAGATGATGCTATCAACATTTACAAGGGGAAGCTCTACCCAACTGCTGTAGCAGCAAGGGAGGAGGTGCGGTTGTACTGTAGGCAGCAGACGTTTGCTCCCTATTTCCGCTATGATCGGTCGAATCTCATTGAGGTGTGGTGCAAGTCCATGGAGGGCAAGGTATGGCCTCGTGGGGAGGTGCACATCGGAGAAGGGATGTGTCCATTCCATGTTGTCATGCGGGGACCGCGCTATAGTAACCTGCGGGTCATGGTGGCTGATTTGGATCACGCCGATAGGTGTGTCACCGAAGCTGCAAGGATTCGGAGGGATGAGGTCAAAGAGGTTGCGCGTGAGATGCTAAAGCATGGCGACGTGAGACCTCATGCGCTGATGAGTCGTGTTAGGGCGGTTTTACGTGTGGAGTGCTCGTACACGGTTGCGCGCGAGGTGCTCTTTGAGCTGAGGAATGCGGATCCGTTTTGTGGAGACGATGGATTTCAATACATGGAGGACCTGTTATACTCCGAAGAGAGGCGCCAATTATACTCCGAGATGACAGTTGCTGACTTCCCTCCCAGGACAAAGCCAATAGTCATTGGGAATCGCGATGAGGGCAAAAGATACAGGGTGGCTGAATCGGGAGAACACGAGTACATAGTACGCCAAGGGGAGGAGAGGCGAGTCGTGACCACAAACCCCGAGGATCCTGCAGACACCCGCTGCTCATGTGGCTACACCAAGTAAGTGGTGTTTAGGTTCTGTTTTTAGCACTGCTAGCGTATGTTTCACTGGTGTATACTTGAATATTGTGTTCATCGGCTTCCTAAATGTCATGCAAGATCAACCCTCATATTGTACCCACTCTAAATTTTAGTCCCCGGTTATCATAAGAGGTCTGCGTAACTTATGAAATCCCCTTTCCTGCTCATTTATCCCAACATCAGTGGTATTTGGGGCGGCCTAAGAGCCATGTAATCTCGTTCCTGCTGCTATTATCATGTTGTCTCATTTATCACGAGCCTTCCCCGTGCGACATGGGGAATATGGCGATATGCGATATCCTGTTTAAACTGAAATTTCTAGTTGCCTACAACTCAAAGAACCTTCCCTATCCCTCCACCTTGCCCATGCAGGGGCATAAGGTCGCCAAAGTGTCGTGTGTACATATGCTTGCCGTAATCATATTTGCTGAATGTGGGCTTCTTTAAGCCATGTGTTCATGTGTGTTATGAAATCCTGCTGGTTTTAGCTATTCCTGCTGGTTTCAGTCATGCGTTAATCCCTTTTAACCTCTTCGCCCATTTATCCCAAAAACAGGGAATACGGGCTGCCATGCGTACACATCTTCGCCGTGTTCAAAAATGATGCTCAGAGGGCGCACGCAGTGATCCAGAAATATCACACAACTTCAGCACTGCAACAAGTGTACAGAACACCGATCCGACTTCTCGACCCAACCTCTGTGGTCCCTGACGGCTTTACCCTCCCTCCGGTCTACAAGAAGAAGGCCGGTCGGCCACCAAAGCGTAGAATGCGGTCCACAGGAGAGATGGACCCAATCAAGTTGCGCAAGTGTGGAAAGTGCGGTGAGTACGGTCATAATGCCCGAACTTGCGAGGTCCGTGCAGCCAACAGAGTGTTGTGGGAAGCTTTACAAACCCCCGCAGGGCAATTGTCAGTGCAAACAATGACGGACGCAGATGGTGCAGTGCATGTAGCCCTGTGCAACGCTTGCAACCGAACGCACCGCAGAGGGATTAGGTGTCAAGCCATGCGTAGACAAGGACAGCCAGGTGATGTGGAGGAGGAGTCATGCAGCGAGGATGATGGGAGTGTCGGTTTGGTTGAAGGGATTGGTGAAGTGGATGAGGAGGGACGGGATGATCGTGATGCCGTGACATATGGTGGGGCGCTGGTCGAGGTGTTTGGTAGGGATCCCGGAACTGCCGGTGATGTTGGTCCTGGTGAACGCACAACCACGAACTCAGACTTGCCCACTCAAACATATAATTCGGGGGCGACACAGATAGACATCACCCAAGAGAGTCAGGCGGGACGAGTGTCTGATACTTCGGTGGCCGAGCGGGTGGAAGGGTTGAGGACTGCGGAGGACGTGGTTGCAGGGCGTATACGGCGGATGCAGGGATTACTCCTACAGCGTGATGTGGCAAGACAGGCAGGAGAGGAACGTGCAACAACTGAAGGTAGGGGCAGAGGCAGGGGACGCAATGCAAGCCGAGGAGAACGGGGAAGAGGGAGAGGGAGAGGGAGAGGCAGATATGGATCTCGGTCTACCACGGAACAGCAGGGAGGAGCTGAACGGTTGGAACAAAATGGTGGGAGCGGATTGGAAGGGATGGAAGGTCAGCAGGGGTTGAGAGGGCAGCAGGGGATGGGAGGACACCCGGGGTTGCGAGGGCAGCAGGGGATGGCAAGGCAGCAGGGGATGGCAAGGCAGCAGGGGATGGCAAGGCAGCAGGGGATGGCAAGGCAGCAGGGGATGGCAAGGCAGCAGGGGATGGCCTGGCAGCAGGGGAGCGGCGGACAGGCAGGGTTGGGAGGGCGGCAGCGGATGGGAGGGCAGCAGGGGATGGCAAGGCAGCATGGGATGACAGGGCAGCAGGGGAGCAGCGGACAGGCGGGGTTGGGAGGGCAGCAGAGGATGGGAGGGCAGCAGGGGTTGGGAGGGCAGCAGGGGTTGGGAGGGCAGCAGGGGTTGGGAGGGCAGCGGGGGTTGGGAGGGCAGCAGGGGTTGGGAGGGCAGCGGGGGTTGGGAGGGCAGCAGGGGTTGGGAGGGCAGTGGGGGTTGGGAGGGCAGCAGGGGTTGGGAGGGCAGCAGGGGTTGGGAAGGCAGCAGAGGATGGGAGGGCAGCAGGGGATGGCAAGGCAGCATGGGATGACAGGGGAGCAGGGGTTGGGAGGGCAGCAAGGGATGGGAGGGCAGCAGGGGTTGGGGGGGCAGCAGGGGTTGGGAGCGCAGCATGGGATGACAGGGCAGCATGGGATGACAGGGGAGCAGGGGTTGGGAGGGCAGCAGGGGATGGGAGGGCAGCAGGGGTTGGGGGGGCAGCAGGGGTTGGGAGGGCAGCAGGGGATGGCAAGGCAGCATGGGATGACAGGGCAGCAGGGGAGCGGCGGACAGGCGGGGTTGGGAGGGCAGTAGGGGTTGGGAGGGCAGCAGGGGTTGGGAGGGCAGCAGGGGTTGGGAGGGCAGCATAGGATGGGAGGGCAGCAGGATACGAGAGGCCAACTTGGGTCCCAGGATGCGTTACAAGGGCAATTTGGGTACGTTCAAGCCCTTAACCAACGATGGGGACGCGTGGGAATGCCAATGCATGGGAATGTTGCAGGTCTGGAGCAACGTTGGAGCCATGTGGGCATGCCATTGCAACAAGAGGTCGAGGGGTCGGCGTCTGGTATGCACAACAGGTCGTCGTGCCAACAGGGATACGAGAACAGCAACAGCTCTTTGCAGTAGAACGTGTGGGCTATGCATGTTATTATTCATGGATACAGGATTGACTTCAAGAGCGCTCTGCACCTGGTTTGATAGCATGTCCTTTTCTTTTATTTCCCACATTGTCTCTGCAACGTCACGAATGGTGGGGGCTTTGGGTATCAAAATACTCCAATGTCAGTGTATGGTGCTTATGTTTAACATTTAAAACAGGTAGTATCAAATGTTTAACATCTTCTAGTTGCATCATTCTATTGTTTGTGTTGTTCGGTGTGCACAATTTTAACAGGATGTTGGGGGGCATGAATGACAATGGTTGACAAGGCGTGTTGTGTACATACCAGTTGTGGCCTAGTGGAATGTTGTTTACAGTACCGTACAGTCATATGGGCATGCCACTCCAACAGTAGATTGCGGGTTGGTGCATGGATTGGACATTAGTTCTCCTTGCCAACAGGGACAGAGAACAGCACCACTTGGGACTATGGTATGCATGGTTGTAGGTTCTCCCTCAAGAGTGTTTTTCATCTGGTTTGCTGGCGGACCTTCCCCCTTCCACATGGTATTGAATCATGCTTTGGCAAGCTTATGATACGTTCAGAACGCGGTTAGATTCACACGTGTTAAACTGCTCAAAAATGTCTTGCCATATTTATCTCAAACACAAGTGTTGTTCGGTTTCCTCCTATACGAGGACACCTTGTTGTGGGCCGAGGGAGTGAGTGGGGCAGTTGCGTGATGCTATATGACTTCCCTTCCATCCCTGCAGGGGTTTAGATGGTACATACGGTAAATGTGTCAAATTATGTATGTACAGTATGTCACATGGTTTTGGACGGTGCAGTATTGCACATATGCGATTGCTGAAAGCAGAGCTGGTGTTTGATACAAATGTTTCAGAACCCGCACGACAGTATGCAGTGGTGATTGTATTAAAATAACATACAACGCCTTAATTCTATCATGTTTTTGATGGTCTGATCAGCTTTGTGTCCCACGGAGAAGCCAGCCACACTTCTACTAGGAAACATGCTCACAGATGATCGCAAACGTATTGCATTTGCATATGATAGTCATGGGCAATGAGGAGGACTAGCATGTACACATTACTGCTGTGAGTGGCAAATGTGTGGCACTCTTGTGCAAACAGTCCACTCTCACTAACATGTTGATCACGAATTCGTAAACCAGATGATGATTATATATGACTGCAATACCAACTGCTATTCATAGTAGTAGTGGTGGCCCACTCGTTATATCCAGCATTAAACCGTCCAAAGTGACGAGGAAATATCTCAACACCACGCTTATCATCCATGTACCTCATCGACAGGCACCGTCTCACCTACCACTAATAACCGCCAACACCAATTTACCCACCCTCTAACCGTCACCTTAGGTAACATTCATAGGTGTATGAACAAGGTAAGCTCCTCTCATCTCTTCTCCTTCCGCCATCCCATCTCCTGCAACCAGCATAGTATGTGTCTTGCGGCCATGTCCTTCGCAGTCCTCAACCCGCGCCCGTCCACCGATATATCCGGCACTCTTGGTGGGTCCGTCATTGTCATGGTGATTTGCCGTCTCCCTTGTAGGAGACGGGATGAGAGTGAATGAGAGGGGATGAGAGGGGATGAAAGGGCATGAACGTGAATGAGAGGGGATGAGAGGGAATGAGAGCGTATGAGATTCGGTGAGAGGGAATGAGAGCGTATGAGAGTGGGTGAGAGGGAATGAGAGTGTATGAGAGTGGGTGAGAGGGAATGAGAGCGTATGAGAGTGGGTAAGAGGGAATGAGAGCGTATGAGAGTGGGTGAGAGGGAATGAGAGCGTATGAGAGTGGGTGAGAGGGAATGAGAGCGTATGAGAGTGGGTGAGAGGGAAAGAGAGCGTATGAGAGTGGGTGAGAGGGAATGAGAGCGTATGAGAGTGGGTGAGAGGGAATGAGAGCGTATGAGAGTGGGTGAGAGGGAATGAGAGTGTGTGAGACGGGATGAGAGGGAATGAGAGTGGATGGGAGGGGTTGAGAGCTTATAAGAGTGGATGAGAGTGGATGAGAGCGTATGAGAGAGTATGAGAGTGGGTGAGAGGGAATGAGAGCGTATGAGAGAGGGTGAGAGGGAATGAGAGCGTATGAGAGTGGGTTAGAGGGAATGAGAGCGTATGAGAGTGGGTGAGAGGGAATGAGAGCGTATGAGTGTGGGTGAGAGGGGATGAGAGTGTATGAGAGTGGGTGAGAGGGAATGAGAGAGTATGAGAGTGGGTGAGAGGGAATGAGAGCGTATGAGAGTGGGTGAGAGGGAATGAGAGCGTATGAGTGTGGGTGAGAGGGAATGAGAGCGTATGAGAGTGGGTGAGAGGGAATGAGAGCGTATGAGAGTGGGTGAGAGGGAATGAGAGCGTATGAGAGTGGGTGAGAGCGTATGAGAGAGTATGAGAGTGGGTGAGAGGGAATGAGAGCGTATGAGAGTGGGTTAGAGGGAATGAGAGCGTATGAGAGTGGGTGAGAGGGAATGAGAGGGTATGAGTGTGGGTGAGAGGGAATGCGAGCGTATGAGAGTGGGTGAGAGGGAATGAGAGCGTATGAGAGTGGGTGAGAGGGAATGAGAGCGTATGAGAGTGGGTGAGAGGGAATGAGAGCGTATGAGATTGGGTGAGAGGGAATGAGAGCGTATGAGAGTGGGTGAGAGGGAATGAGAGCGTATGAGAGTGGGTGAGAGGGAATGAGAGCGTATGAGAGTGGGTGAGAGGGAATGAGAGCGTATGAGAGTGGGTGAGAGGGAATGAGAGCGTATGAGAATGGGTGAGAGGGAATGAGAGCGTATGAGAGTGGGTGAGAGGGAATGAGAGCGTAAGAGAGTGGGTGAGAGGGAATGAGAGCGTATGAGAGTGGGTGAGAGGGAATGAGAGCGTATGAGAGTGGGTGAGAGGGAATGAGAGCGTATGAGAGTGGGTGAGAGGGGATGAGAGTGTATGAGAGTGGGTGAGAGGAAATGAGAGCGTATGAGAGTGGGTGAGAGGGAATGAGAGCGTATGAGAGTGGGTGAGAGGGAATGAGAGCGTATGAGAGTGGGTGAGAGGGAATGAGAGCGTATGAGAGTGGGTGAGAGGGAATGAGAGCGTATGAGAATGGGTGAGAGGGAATGAGAGCGTATGAGAGTGGGTGAGAGGGAATGAGAGCGTAAGAGAGTGGGTGAGAGGGAATGAGAGCGTATGAGAGTGGGTGAGAGGGAATGAGAGCGTATGAGAGTGGGTGAGAGGGAATGAGAGCGTATGAGAGTGGGTGAGAGGGAATGAGAGTGTATGAGAGTGGGTGAGAGGGAATGAGAGCGTATGAGTGTGGGTGAGAGGGAATGAGAGCGTATGAGAGTGGGTGGGAGGGAATGAGAGCGTATGAGAGTGGGTGAGAGGGAATGAGAGCGTATGAGAGTGGGTGAGAGGGACGGAGAGGGGATTCAACGTAACAAATGTGGACTAGAGAGCAGTCAGGCACGAGGTAGCATAAAAGAAAGGCGTGGCAATTTGCCATAAGCCGCGGCTTTGGCCGGGGATGACACGGCATGCGAGGGAGTGAGGAAAGATGGGTATTGCGCATGGCGACGGCGGCGGCCTGGTCGGCGCGATGCGCGGAGCGGCCAAAAGCAGGACGCAATGCGCATCGCGGCGGCGGCGGCCCGGTCTGTTAAAGTTTAGAAGAAAGAAGAGAATTGCACTAGCAAGAATGAGGATACAAATAGCAAACCCTAGAAGGGTTGTACTCGCTATAGAGCACCCCACTACAGGCTAGAGCATAAGATAACATTCTGACACACCCCCATAGCCAAAGTGGGGTGTAATCAGCAGAGTAAGCAAGGGAGTACAAGCTCAGGGTGGATCACAATGTCACCACACATTCTGAGCACAAGTTCAAGAAGCAATAGTTTAAGTTCACAATTATGAGCAAAGCTAGTGGTAGTCACAACGGGCAAGTGAGGAGGAGGAGAGAGAGTGAGAGGAGAGGAGATAGGAGGCGACGGCTGAAGCTGCAGACACACAGGCAACAGGAGGCAGACTGGCACAGCGGCTACCGGACGAAGTCCCCGGAATACAGGAGTAACAGGCCCCGCGGCTAAAGTAGCGGCAGACGAGCAACGGACCCACGGGCGGCTGGCACAGCTGGCTACGACTGGGCTACCGGACGAAGTCCCCGGAATACAGGTGCTGCTGGCGACACGACGGCAACCTCCATTCAGCTTCCCCAAACTATCCCACTCCCCCCTGGCACATACCCGCGGGAAGAAAAACTGCCGCACGCCACGGGGCGTGCGGCACAGAGGGTAGCAGTAGCAGTTGCAGCGGAAGCAACAAGGTGGTGAGCCCACCCACAGGATCGATCCAAGGGGATCGACCTGCTCTGATAGCATGTTAAAGTTTAGAAGAAAGAAGAGAATTGCACTAGCAAGAATGAGGATACAAATAGCAAACCCTAGAAGGGTTGTACTCGCTATAGAGCACCCCACTACAGGCTAGAGCATAAGATAACATTCTGACACGGTCGGCGCGATGCGCTTTGCGGCCCGAAGCTGGCCGCAATGCGCATCGCGGCGGCGGCTGCTCCTGATCGTCGCGATGCATCTCGCGACAATCGGGCCCGATGCATCGGGCGATGCGCTGTTCGGCGCGCCGGTTTGTGGGCGCATCGCGACAGTGGTCTGATCGACTTTATTCATTCATACTAGTAGTAATTTTCGAGTAACAAGGGACTAAACGTGAATGGATGGGGAAAGGCTTTAGGGCTAAGGCACGCACCGTTGATAGACGTCAGGTGCTGCTAACGAACGCCTTGGATGCGTGAACGGGAAGCCAGCTGGCGAAAGCTATAGTTTCTGGTAATAGCGTGAGGAATAGCTGATGGCGGGAAGTAAGTTGGAGAGCTGCGCTGGGGTCAAGGTTCTGTACTTGGTTGGAACCGTAGCGAGCGGGGGGGTGTACAGCACGTTGGGTCATGGTGTGGTTACCGTGGGCTGGAGGCTCGACGGTACAAGCGTGCGTCAAACCTCTCGGCAGGGGACTTGGCGCGAGCGGGAAATCGGCCTGGTTTCATGAATTTCTGGTGGGGGTTTCATGTGTTACCATTCGCGTGATTTTTGAGCTGTTGATAGTGACTGAATCCGTGACCCCACTTACCAAGCCCGTCAGGATACTCGATACAGTTACCGTACGCTTTTTATTTTTACCATTGATGTTATCGGGTCACATGATGGTTACCTGTGACATATTTTCCCGAGGAGAAAGGTCCCGCCCTTGCTTGGGCGAAGTCGGCCGTGCTTTTCGGAGCACAACGGTTTTCGTTTCGTGGTCATCGTCGAATTTGGGGACTTTTATCTGGATGCGACAGCCTCTGGGACTCTGACCTCTGTGCGACGGGTCGACTTTCGACGAGATTAAATCGTCGAAATTGAAGTGTTGTTTCTGCTCCACGGAACTGCCCTTCGAGGAGGCACTTGTCGAGGGGAGGAAATCGGCGTCGAAATCGAGCCTCGCGGGTCGACGAAATTGCAGAAATCGGCGTTTAAACGAAACGCTGGTCGACAGAATTACGCTCGAAAAAGGTATCGTCGAGCAGATCGATTCTGGTCGACCGAAATTACTTGTCTCCAATTCAGAATGTGCGAGAATTTCGACAAATCGCAAATTTCGACCAATCAGATGCTCTCGGAAATTGTACTCCCCAGGAGAACTCGAATCAGTAAGGAAACTGAACCTGAAACACGTTCTTACTAACAGTAAAAACGTATACAACTCTGAAAGCTGTAAACCTGAGAAACTGCCAACTCATGTGAAAGACACATGTGCTTGTCGTTTCACCTGCCGTTTCTGACTCGGGAAAGGTGTTTGTTTGTCGAGGAACGTTTCTCCAGGGTACTTTGTCTTTGCTATTTGGTTCTCCTTGTACCATAATTGATGGAGTGTGAAGGGAATTATACTTAGCATTCCCGTAGGTGCAGCAGTATCGCACCTGACTTTGTCGAAGCAGAAACAACCGCAGTATCGGATCAGCCCGTATCAAGGGCATGAAGGTCAACAATCGCAAGAGTCAACTGTCGTGACTGTTGACCATCTGGACCGACGCTTGACTTGCCATCGAGGAAAAGCAACAGTTGTAAACGTACAGGTTACATGCAGCGACTCGGTAACAAGAAGGAAGTACAACAGTCAGAGTCACTGTAGAAATGCCTGTAAAACAGTTATAATAAGGGAATGTACCCCTCAGAGTACATGGCTAGACTAGGACTATTTATATTCCTTGTATTCTATTGTTTAATCAACTTGGTCATTTACATTCACTATGATCTGAGTTCTTACAAGACTTCCGCTACCAACTCTACAAAGTACCTCCTATCCTATCCAAGGTCCTCACTCTAACATGGTATGAGAGCTAGTTTGGATGATAGGATCTACTAAAGGGGCTTCCAACAAAGCTTCCTCATAAAATTAATCTCAACATCAACAACATCAAGGGCATCAATATGCCAGGCACAGACTGCGGAGAGGCTGGAGAAAATCAAGTGCAACCCTCCACCAATGTCGCCTCTACTACGACGACCGTGGACACAGCACTCCTCGATTAACTAATCTCCCGCATCAGTGCACTGGAGAGCCACCAGCCAATGAGCATTGACGGCTCAAGTTACGCCCGAAGACCTCCCGATCCTCAAGGAGCTGGATCTGAACGATCCTTTACCTTCGATAACTGCGGAGCTCAAGGATCTGCTCAAGCACAACAAACACATTACGAGGCAATGGCTTCAATGCAAAGCAAGTTCCTTTCCACGTCGAAGCTCAGGACTACCAAGCCCTTCGATGGACAAGACTTCTACACCTGGAGCTTCGAATTCGAACTACTAGCTCAGGGCGCTCGGATCTGGATGTACTACGACGGATCATACCCCTTTCCAGCAAGCGGCTCACCTCAGGAGAAGACGCAATACTATAACGAATCGCTCCTGGCCTTCACCGTCCTGATCCGGAACCTGTCGCCCGAAGAACAACTGAGCATCCGCCCCTTCAAAAACGAATGGGCGCCCGCGCAGCAGTCCTGGGAACACCTGCGCACCTGCCACATGGCAACAGATTTGGTGACACTCAGTCGCCTGCTCAACCAGCTGAACAACGTCAAGATGTTTCCCGGCGAAAAGGCCGGACCATACATCAACCGCTGCAGGAACCTGAGAGACCAATTCAGGAAAAGCGGCGGCAACTTCCCTGACGACATGTTCGTCACCATCATCCTTGCTGGATTGAGCCCGGAATGGCGCCAATGCAAGTCCCTCCTTCGCACACAAGGCACTCTCAGTGAGACTGCCCTCTGCTCCACGCTTCTCTCCGAGCAGAAGGAAATCGACCTGTACAACGAAAGAGGCAACAAGAAGGAGAAGATCGCCTTTTACGCTCAAGCGCCACCGGACAAGAAAAGACTCTTATGCAAGTACTGCAAGAAGACTGGGCACATGATTCAAGACTGCTGGAAGCTGAACGGTAACAACAACAACCAGAAGGGTGCCGCTGCTCACCAGCAAGGAGGAGCCGCAGCGCGCAACCAAACTGTGTCACCGCCAGCCGTTGCCAGCACGTCCCAAGCCCCAGCACGTCTCACTGCAAACACAAGCGACAAGGGCAAAAGCAAGGTCTTGACTTGCATGGTGCGTCACGGACCGCCTCGCCCCAACAGTCACTACTGCTTCTTCCGCAACTGGGAAGATATGTTCGCAGAACCGCCTCAGGAGCGGCCCGAAGGATCAGTCGAAGAAGAAGAAGAGAACGATCCAACCTACGACGAGTTGACGGTCGGACGGATGCAGTTTGACTGGGAAGCGCCGGAGTGGATTCAGGAGTCGCCACCTGCACGCATCGCATACAACGACGAAGGATGTTACTACGACTACGAAAATGATCACGACATGGAACATCACATCACTCCGAAGCTTGCCAATCTGGCCAAGACAAGAAAAGAAGTCAACACGTGGTACCTGGACAGCTGCTGTGGCCAGGACATGGTGTCTTCAGATGTCTTCATCCTCAACAGAGAGCGACTCTTAAACGAAGTAGAGATCACCGTCGCCAACAACCAAACCATCTACACCAGAAGCTGCGGACAAGTGCAACTGGAGTCACACGACACTAGCTACTGCATCCACATAAGCGATGTTCTCATCGTGCCGGAACTCCGGTACAATCTCTTGTCACTCCACCAGCTGATGAAGTGCGGGGTTGGCCTGCAAACGACAGAAGACGAAATGCACTTAATATACAATGGCATATTCATCGGAAAGGCAACAAGTGTGGAAGGCGTTTTCGTGCTCGACTTCGAGTCGCCCAGAACCTCTGGCGACAATGAACACATCCTTGTTCTTGACCCTCCGGGCCACCCGTCGCCGCCAAGATGGAGCCACCCAGAAGAAACCGATTATCAACAACCCGGCCTCGATGGCACCTTCCGCGCCCTCGTCGTGCCCGTCGCCTCAACAACGAACCCTGCAGAAACCGGACCGCAAGCAGTGGAAGAAGGAGAGGAGATCACATCAGAAACGGCAGTCGAAACAACTGAGCCGACAAGCACGCAAACCTTCTGGCCGCCTGTCGAACGTCCCACCGGCTGGAACACAACCGAAGGATGGGACGCAGTCGACATGCGTCGGATCATGGAGAATATTGCGATGGGCGAAGCCATCGCAGCTGAAACTGGATGGGGCAACATCGCCAACGTACCTATAGAAGAAGCAGCAGAGGAACCAGAAATTACTGAAGAGGCATCAGAAGCCGAGGAGGAGGAGTCACT